GTTAGCAATGACGAAGAAAAGACAGAATTCTCATATATTGCTGGTAGCAATGTAAAATTTTATAGTCACTTTGGAAAATATTTTGGCAGTTCTTCAAATGGTTGAATAGTGTGTTACTGTATGACGCACAAGTTCCACTCTTAGTTCTATACTCAAGAGAAATGATAAAATGTCCACATAAGAAAATATATATGAACATTTATTGAAACATTATTCATAGTAACTAAGAGGTAGAAATAATGCATATATCCCTCAACTGATGAAGGAGTAAACAAAATGTGATGTATGCAGACAATGGAATATCATTCAGCCATAAAAAAGAATGAAGTACTGACATTCTACAGTATGGATGAACCTTGAAAACATTATGTTGAGTGAACAATGCCAATCAAAAAAGATTGTACATTATGTGATTTTATTCATATGAAATATCTAAAATAGGCAAACCTATTGAGACCAAAAGGATATTGCTGGTTGCTTAGAGCTATGGGGCTGAGGGAATAGAAGGGTCATGACAAATGAGTACAAAGTCTATTTTTGAGGTGATGAAAATATTGTAGAATTGACTGTGATGGTTGCAAATATCTGAATATGCTAAAAACCAGTGAGTTGTCACTTGAAATAGGTAAATTATATATGAGTTATATTTCAATAAAGCCTTTATTAAAAAACAAAACCCCTCAACCATTTATTTATATCATGTTTCTGTGGGATCACAATATGGACTGGACTTGCTTCAGTGGTGTTTGGGGGCTCAACTAGGATTCTTTATATACATATGAGTTGATTTTGCTGATCATACTGAACTCATTTATCTAAAGCCTTAGAAAGGACAACAAGGCTGACATGGCTCAACTCCATTTCTCTCTCTCTCTCTCCTCCTCCTCCTCCTCTTTCTCCTTCTCCTCCTCCCACCCCTCTTCCTCCTCTCTCTCTCTCTCTCTCTCTGGTTTGAAGTTGAGCCTAGAGCCTTTTCCCTGAGCTACATACAGAGCTCTTTTTTGTTTTTATTTTGTGTTTTGAGACAAGGTCTTGCTAAGTTGCCCAGGCTGGGGCTACAACTACAGACGTGCCCATGTGCCACACACATGTCTCTCTCTCTCTCCCTCTCCCCCCCCCCTCAGTTTATTGAGACAGGGTCTCACTATATAGCTCAGGCTGGCCTTGATCAAGCTGGCTGTGAACTCACTATGTAGTCCAGACTGGCCTTGAACTCATGGAAATCCTCCTGCTTCAGCCTCCTAAGTTCCTGGCCCATGTTGTCTCTTATAAGGGTCAATTTTCAAAGTGGACTTTATAAAAAAAATCTCAATAACTGATAAAGCATTATTTCTGGGTGTGGCTGTGAGGGTGTTTCTAGAGGAGGTTGCTGTGTGAGTCAGTGTATTGAGTGGGCAATATCCACCCTCAGTTTGGGTGGGAACCATACACTGAGCTAAGGGCCTGGAAAAACAAAAAGGAGACAACATGAATTTTTTACATTTTCTGTTCTGGAACTGGGACACTCTCCTCCTCCTGCCCTTGAACATCAGGACACCAGGCTGTCTAGCCTTGGAGCCTTGGTACTTCAGAATCTGTACCAGCAAACCTGTACCCCCCAGGTTCTCAAACCTTTGGCCTCAGACTAAGAGTTACACCATCAGCTTTCTCAATTTTGACACTTTTAGACTTGGACTGAGCCATACTCCCAACCTTCCAGGGTCTTTAGCTTGCAAATGGCTTGCCATATGTCATATTTATACTGGTTCAACTCTGGAGAACCCTGACCCCCGACCAATACATCTCTCATCTTCCAGGAAACTAGACTGCACCACTGACATGACAAAACTAGTAAGTATTTTAAGTGAGAGTATAAAAACCCAAAGTTTCACGAGGAGCAGCCCCTTTACTGCCCCACCATCACTTCCTCATTTTATTTACTCAAATAAGTAATAAAGCTAGCTTAGATTTAAGTGATGAAGACATTTGCAGTATGTCTTTATGGGAAGGACAGCAAAATCACATTTTCAATAGTGCTGGTACGCAAAGTATCTATAGAATAAAATGATTGGGGCCACTTCTGCAAACAGTCGACCATGTAGTATTAAAACCTTTTATTTTGTACCTGTGCCCTCTTAGAATCTTTCTATTTTGTCATAAGTTAATAAAAATATATAAATTATATTTGTGTTCATCTAGATTTAAGGGATGAATCCAACTGCCAAGAAGCCTATTAAAATCCAGATTCTTCATTACTTGCGTGTGGATATAAAGCCATCTAAGATCATTGTCCTTTCTTGCACTCAAGTTTTCCCAAACCAACTAGCTTTCATTTAAAATACCTCAAGTACTTCTCCAGTTTAGGGATTTGCTCATGCTATCTTTCTGGAATATTCTCTTACCATTTCTCTGATCCATTCCCTATTCTGCCACTTTTCAGGTTTAATGTCATTTTCTTAAGGATATTCCTTGATTACCCCATCTAAACCACATCCTCTCACTGTATCTTAAAGTAACTCATGTTCTAAAATGTAGATAAGTGATTCTCAATTGAAGATAATTTTCCCCCTAGGGGTCTTTTGACAATGTTTGGGGATACTGTCTGGCATCATAACTGAAGGATGTTGTTATTATTATCCAATGGACAGAGGCCAAGAATATTAGTATCCTATTATGGGACAGTCTTCCTGCCCCACATCAAAAATAACGATAGTGCTGAGGTTGATAAATTCTGCTTTAGATTATGGACAACAGTTAGGCAGTACACATTTGTTTGAATGTTTGTGTGAATCTGAAGGAAGAGACTACAATACAAGAAATGTAGCTGTGTGAGCTGGGAAAAAGCAAAGAAAGATTCTCCTCTAGAAAGAGCATAGCACTGTCAACATCTTGTTTTCAACCTAGTGAAACTGATTTTGGATTTCTGACCTCTCAAATTGTAAGAGTCTGAATATGTGTTCCCTTAAGACACCACATTTTTGGTAATTGATTAGAGCAGCCAAAGGAATCTAATATAACTTTTGGTATCTGGTAATAGGTTGCTGCTATAACAAATATCTAAATATGTAGAAATCCTTTTAGAAATGAGTAACGGATGAGGTCAGTAGAGAAAGACTGTGTCATCTTAGAGAATACCTAAGCCATTATAAACACACTATTAATAGAAATGTGAACATTAAAGGTATTGCTGGTGAAGGCTTAGAAGGAAATTTGGGACATAATTTTGGAAACAGAAGATCAGGAGGATGTCCTGCACATAGTAGTGTCCCGCCCATATGGTAGTAGTGGTCATAAGTCTTAGCTGCATTCTGCCCTATAGTTATGTGAATAATAGATTTTGTGAGCCAGGAACTGGGATATTTAGCTGAGAATATTTCCAAGCAAATTCTTAAAGGCATGACCTATTTTTCTATGTCTAGAATAAAATGCTAGAGGAAGGTCATAAATTGAGAGAATAGCTATTAAGCAAAAAGTAACTGGGGTTTGATGATATGAGAAAGTCCCCATCTATCTGTATTGTAAACAACAGAAAAATTCGGGTGTTCTCTGTTAGGAAAACATGCTGTGGAAATAAAAGCAAGGGTGATATCCTTTTCTTAGTGCTGCTGAGGGAATCAATTGATCAAAGTAATCAATCACAGAGGGGTTTTGAAGAGATGCAGGGTGTGCTTTGCAGTAGAAATAAGAAATAGAGATGGGATTTTTCCAATAGGGATCTGTGAAGGAGCCTCTTGTCTAATGATATGAATTTCCATGACTTATATGGAAGACTTCTAAGTTTTTCAGAATGTTATGTAAGCAGAAACAATGTCAGTTTAGACTGAAAGGGACAGATAGGGGATGAAATGAAAGGAGGCTGTGAGATTCTCACAATCTGATAGAGAGGGCTAATAAGACTACTCGGCTGTAAATATATATAACCATTCAAAATAAAGGAAAGAAGATGAAATGCAGACAGATTCTAGGGTCCAGGTGGCAGAGCTATGGGCCCAGGTAAAGTCACAGAATCAGTGGCATGAGAGGAAAAAGTCTCACACCATGTAAGATTATTGCCAAGCCTTGAAACCTAATGGAGTTTTGCATGGTTGGGTTCTGAAATTGCATAGATTGGAGACACATTTCTTCCTTCCAATTTCTTTCTTTTGGAATGGGAAGGTTATTCACTTTAAATGAACCAAAACACAAGACAAAAGGCAGAAATACAAGAGTAGTAAAGAGGAAAGTTAAAATGGGAATGAAGGAGCAACATCTTTTAGTGCACCGATATCACCTAGAAGAGCCAAGAATGACATAACTGGGTTTAAATTGAGCATAAGGTACACTTTCTATAAAAAATGTTTACTAGGTTCTGACAGGGGAATCCATTGAGTATATAATTCTTGCTTCCAAATTGGTTAAAAATGTTTTTCAAACAAGGGAACATAATGACACTCATGCAGATATAAAATCAAAATGGGCTACAAGATAAAGATGTTGTAATTGATTAAAATGAGTATCCAGAGTGGACACAAGAATACTAACCAGACATATGTCAGTGTGCGAATTCAGGCATCACTGGATTTAATACAATGCAAGGAAGAGGACAGCCACACCTCTACTGGAAAAATACGTATCATATGCTTATCAGTGGCTTACAGCTAACAAACATTCATAAAAGACAAAAAGAGAATACATGGCTAGAATCAGATAACCTGGAGAGATATCCTAAAGAAAGGGCAAAGTTATCCACTGAAACACATTTCCACAAGATAAAGTCAAATACAGTGTTAGAGTTCCCTCAAAGCCATGTCTGGTGATTAAGCAAGTAGGTTTGTGTGACAAGCACTGCAAAGCTGAAGTCCTAGCAAAGCCCAGTGGACACAAATAATATTTCAATGTCAAGGTTGTGACAAAAACAGCTTCTGACCAATGAGGGGTAAGAACTGAGGTACAATAGGCAGGTGTGACTTCTTATGGCTTTAGAGACCTGCTACACCTGGTGAACGAGGTAGACCTGACCAGAGAGCAAACTAGCAACCATCATGTCTGAAAAAAAGAGCCAAGAGTGTTCCTATAAAGACAACAATCAACAGGAAAACCCTGATTCCAGACCTGAGCTGCAGTTATCTGTGAGCTATGTGTATCACTTTCTGAAAGAAAAACAATACACACCATGCTCAGGTTCCACAACAACAGATTTCCTCCTTGCCACACTTGCCTCTCCTACAGACTACATCTTGCAGCTAGCTGGTATGCTCTGAGGCCAACAACAACACTGGGATGCCCACAAACCCACAAGATAGAGAGAGGGAGAAGTGAACAACAATTGTGAGCATCCTGGTATCATCCAGGATGTGTCCTTGTCTTTGTTGGATGAAATGCCTGGACTCAGGAAGAATGGCTAAAAACTGAATCAAAGAGAATAGTGTGGAGTCTCAGAGGCTTAGCCAGAGCCATACTGTTTCATGGAAGAGGAGGCCTCACTGTTGTCACTAACAGATGCTATTAAATGCTTTACATCTATGACAATGGTTTTGACTTTGTTTGAGGCACTGTGAATCGGAGGTGTCTGGGGGCATCCAGGAGCTCTGTCATACAGAGGGTTGATGCCAGTGGGGGGAGGGGGGGTGTAATCAATGGTCAGTGTGGGGCCTTTGAATCAGTAATTACAAAGGAGTAATTTTAATGGGAAAGGTGTGGGATGTGGCCTCAGGGGAGGAGCTGCTTAGGACAGAGAGCTCAGAGGACATACCTAGGGACTCTAAGCAAAGAAGGCCCTGAGAGGCCAAGAAATTGGCTGGGTGCCTCCTAGGTATGTTGGATTCTCAGCATGTTACTGGCACCTACTGAGGAACTGAAAACCATCACTTAGGTAGGGAAGGCATTATTCATGGTTGGGAATGACTAAAGTCAGAAAGTCATGCCAGTGAATGTGGGAGGTAAAGGTGGAACATTGTTGGCAAGAATTGAATGAGAGTACTATTCTGCCATAAAGAAAGATAAGCTTGAGACATTTCTGGCTAACTGGATGCACTTTGAGACTATACTCTTAAGTGAAATAAATTGGACACGTGGTTAAATACTGCATTGTTTCTCTGGTGTTAGAAACCGAAAGTATAAATAAGGACCAAAATGAATAGTAGATATTAGGAAATGGGAAGAAAGTGTTCAAATGAGAAGGGAAACAGGGAGGGGGGAGGAAAGAAGGGACAAAAAAAGAGAAAAGAAGGAAAAATGCTTTTGTAAATAAGGAGGGGAGGAGTGGTTGAGGGGAGGTGAATGGAGAAAAAAGAAGAAGCAAGATATATCATGTACAGGTACAAATTCCCTATGATAAATATGATGATTATGTATATCTAAAATGTACCAATAAAATAAAAAATTTTAAAAAAAGAGTTGAGTGGGACAGGAGGATTTACATTAAAACTGAGCAGTGATGGGGAAACAGGAAAGAAAAGTACAAAAGAGGAATTATGCTCATGTTAATCTCTTTTGTTATTTATCTATACACTACCTCGTTGTAAAAGATGTGTTACCCATGGAGTATTTGCATGCATAGTGAATATAATTTTCTGTCCTCTGTTGTGGACACTGTTAAATTACAATCAGAAATGAGGTGACTTAAGACAGGCAATGCAAGCAGTACTTAGTGCCTATTAATTATGAAATAACAAGTGTATTTATAAATGTATTTTCTTTAAAAGACAATCATCAATGTCACATTTGAATATCATCATTTATTGACCAGATATTTGAAATAACAATGAAGAAATACCAGTGCCTGAATATGTCCTTTAAGAGGATTAACAAGAGCATGTGTAATTCTGTCCCAAATGATGAACTCAAAGTACATGCATTTTCTGCAAACATGCTGCTGTACGGTTCTAAAGGAGAAATAGGATTCACATCAAGTGTTGCAGGAATTGGCCCTTTGCCTCTGAGGGTCCACATTTGAGGAGTTCCTTGTCCATTGGGTCCACCATCTGTTGCCTGTTGTCCTTTCAACAGTAGGCTGTCCACTCGGCTTCCACAACAGAAGCAGAGGACCCGAATTTCAGATTCCAGTGCACCACTGTATGGCCATGTGATCTTGGACATTCTTCTGCTCCAGCTGAGCACTAACCAATTTTTCCTCATGTGTAAGGTGAGGGATGAGAGGCCGTCCATCTGGGAGTTTTCCCAACTATAAGTGCACGTGTATCTGTAAACCTGCCACTTCACCCATCTTATAGTACAGAGCAGGCTTTAGTAGCAAGCTGTGTCTGTCCCCTTCCCTAACTCATGTGCTCAGACATGCTTATCCACAGTGCAGCAAGGGCATAGTACCCAGGAAACTGCTGGGTTCTGGATCACTGGCTGTGACGACCACCACATGTTGCCTCTTGAGAAAAAAAAGTAGAGTGCCATGCAGAGGAGGGAGGCAGGAGGAGATGGACGCACCAGGCAGGTCTCACTATATGCCAATTAGAACAGAACTCCATTAATTTTAGTAATCTTATAATCAATCAATACTCTCCAGAATAGGACAACTTTATATTCAGAATAAAAAGTGAAAATATTTTGGAATTCCAGAAACATATGTGCAGAGAAATATACTTTATAGCTTCACCTCTGCAATTCAATAATGGATCAACTGCAAACAGAAAAGAGTAAAATCTCCTGGTCTATATATAGGAAAGCTGTTCTAGTCCCAATGTGTATGAAATTCTTAATTGATTTGGTGAAAAAAGAAATAGAAAAATAAAAAGACCAATAAACTAGATTTTTCTCTTTTCTTCCACCCAACAGGGTCTGGATTTTTATTTATCATTTGTAGAAATATCCACCTTGTTAGATCCTGAATCCAGATTCCTAACCATTTGGCCAATAATGAGAACAATAGGTTGGGAGTACGGCAATAAAAACAAAACAAATATAAAACTCACAGAGTGGAAAAATGAATTATAAAATAAACACTGAAATTACACCCAGAATAAACAGAATCAGTAAATTCCTAGGTGTGCTTTGAATAGACCTAGGAGAGCCAGGAAAAGACAAGCTTGGACTTTAACTGAGCATGAGGGATACACCTGTGTTATGAATGTTAATAGGTGAATCAATTGAGATTATAAATGTGGCCTCCAAGACAGTTGTATGATATTTTCAAACAGTAAAATCATGATATTCACCCAGACGGTAAATGAAAATATTTTGCAAGAATTTGTTTAACTTACAAGGGAATTAACAGATATTATAGGCAGCTTAAAGGAGCAACCAAAGAGCAGACATGGAAGTATTTATCATAAATATTTAATTTTAAAAATAGAAGCAAAATTGTTTTCATTACACCATGACCAGGGAGAAAAATATATACCCAGTGGACAGAGGATTCACCATGTCTATCAGTGCTCAATAATTTAAAAGGAATGCAAAAGAGCTCAAAGAAGATGGAAGGATGGTATCAGGGAACCTTAAGTGCTGTGCTAAAGACTAGGCAATGTTTTCATTGAAACACACTTTTTACTAGAATGTTCAAATCCAGTACAAAGTAGAAAGAGTTGCCTCAAAAATGTATTCAGTTACTAGGACAACCAGGTTCACATCATGGACATTTCAAGGCTGAGGCCTGATCAGATCCCAGTGGACACCAATGACATCACAAAGTCCAGGTGGTCACAAAGGCAGCTCCTGACCAATGAAGGATAAGAGTTGGGGTTACATTTTGCAGGTCTGGATGCTGATGGCTTCAGAGACCTAGTATAGCCAGTGGAGCAGGAAGACTAGACCAGAGCCCCAAACTAGCAACCATCATGTGTGAACAAAAGAGCCAATATGGTTCCTATAAAGACAACAATCAACAGGAAGACCCTGCTTCCAGACCTGAGCAGCAGTTACCTGTGAGTGACATCTACTGCATTCTGCATGAAGAATATAACCCATACTTCTCATCCACCTCAGACCTTCTTCTTGCCATGCTAGAATCCCTCACTGACTATATCTTGACGCTGGTAGGCTCTGAGGGCAACAATGTCGGGATGCCCACCAACCCACAAGATGGAGAGAGAGAAATGGACAACAACCATGAGCATCCTCCTATCATCCCAGATGTGTCCTTCTCTTTCTCAGATGAGATGCCTGGGTCCAGGAAGAAAGGTTGAAAATTGATTCACAGAGCATAGTGGGAAGCCTCAGAGGCTTAGCTAGAGCCACGATGTCTCAGTGAAAAAGAGGCCCCACTGTTGTCATCAACAATGCTAATAAAGGCTTTAAGTCCATGGCAATGGTTTTGACTTTGTTTCTGTCATTTTGAGTGGGAGGTGTCTGAGGTGCCTAGAGGAGCGCTGCCATACAGAGGATCGATGGGTGGGCTGGGTGCATGGGTAGGAGGGAAGCTGTGGGAAGTGGGAGGCCTCTGAATCTGTGATTTCAGGGAAGTAGTTGCAGTGGAGATGGTGTTTCAGAGGAGGAGATGGTTGGAGTAGAAAGCAGAGGAGACGTGCTTAGTGGTCCTGAATGAAGAAGGCCCTGGGAGGCTAGGAAGTTGACTTGGACCTCCTAGGCATGTTGGATTCTCAGAATGATACTGGCAATGGGGGAGGAGCTGAAGGCCATCAATGAAGTGGAAAAGGCTATATTCATGGTAGGGAAAGTAGACAAGGTGTGAAGTCAGAGCTTATGGCAATAGATGTGGGGGAGGGGTGGCAAAGGTGGGACAATGTTTGTAAGAACTGAATTGTATAGGAGCATTTCCATGAAGACTGAAGAATGATGTGGAAACCAAAAGGAAAAGTACAAATCAGAAATTATGCTCCAGTTGAATTATTTTATTATTTATCTATACACTGCCACATTCAAAAAGATGAATTGACCTAGGGAGTATTTGCTAACATAGTGAATGTAATTTTCTTTTCTTTTTTTTATTCCATTAAGTATATTGGTACACTTTAGGTATACATTACGATCACATTCATCATTGGGAATTTGTACCTGTACATCAAGTCTCTTGTTTTTTCCCCATTCCCCTTCCTTCCTTTCCACCCCTCCACCACTCCCTATTTGCAAAAACTTTTTTCCCATTTTTACCTTCTCTTCTCATATTTTTCCCTCCCTTCTTTCCTTTCCCCTGCCCCCTTCCCTAGCTCCCCTTCCCTTTTGGACCTTTTCTTCTTATTTTACATTATTTATTATACATTTTGGTACTTATTTACTCTTGCAGCTTCTCACACCAGAGAAACTATTAGGTATTTGCACAATGTGTGTCCTATTTATTAAGAATATGGCCTCAATGTGCATCCATTTAGCTATAAATACCTCTAGCTGATCATTCTTTATGGCTGAGTAGTACTCCATTTTATTAAAACACACACACACACACACACACACGCACACATCTTCTTTATCCAGTCTCCAGTTGATGGGCTTTTGGGCTGTTTCCAAGATTTAGCTATTACAAACTATGCCACTATAAACATGGATGCACATATATCGCTGTGGTATGATGCTTTTAATTCTTTCAGGAACATACCTAGCAGGGGAATAGCAGGGTCAAATGGGACCTCTAATCCTAGTTTTTTGAGGAATCTCCACACTGATTTCCACAGTGGTTGCACCAGTCTACACTCCCACCAACAGTTGGAGAAGGGCTCCTTTCCCCACACAGCCCCACCAGCATTTATTATTGGTTGGTTTCTTTCTCTTTTTTTGTCTGCCTCCCTTTATTACAGATTTGTACAGTACATCCCTATGAAGCTTCTATTGTGAATGGCAGTTTGGCCTAGAAAGTGCCATACAGTTCTGCTGCAAAGAAAGGGCTTGGAGAGCTGTCAGCTTTGTCCTAAGAGGCACTTTAGGTTAGATGCCAAATACACTTTTTAGAATGGTTCTGCAGTTTGAACTGAAGTTTTCACTCCAACATTTTCCCTGGTGACTTCTCTTCCATAGAACTCAATGGAAGGGGATGATATAAAGCACACTTACTTCTCAGAGAAAGCAGATAGAACTGCCCTAGTGTGGCAATCAGCTCCACTCCAGGAATGAAGTAAAACAGTAGTCCCTTAAGTGTCTGCCTCCCTACATTACAGATTTGTACAGCACATCTCTATGAGGCTTCTAATGTGAATGCCAGTTTGGTCTAGAAAGTGTCATCCAGTTCTTTTTTTTCCATTTAAGAATTTTATTGGTACATTTTAGGTATACAATATAATGACATTCATCATTGGAGATTTGTACCTTTACATAATATATCTTGATTCCTATTTTTCCCCATTCCCCTGCCCTCCCTACAACCCCTCC